TTAAAAGAAGGAGCAGTGGTTATGTTACTACGCAACATTTGTATCGAGGATGGATTGTGCAATGGGACAAGATTAATTGTCTTAAAAATAAACAAATGCATTTTGCATTGCTCAGTTTTAACAGGAGAAAATAAAGGAAAAATAGTTGCACTACCAAAAATTGCACTTGACACAAAAGAAGAAACAAACCTACCTTTTGTTTGAATAGGAAACAATTCCCCGTTAGATTAGCATTTGCTATGACTATTAGTGAAAGCCAAGGGCAATCGTTTGACAGAGTGGGAATTTTTATAGATAAATAAAGACCAATGTTCGCTCACGGGCAACTGTATGTAGCATTGTCTAGATGTAGGACTAAAGAAGGTTTAAAAATAAAAATCATTAATTTTGATGACAAGAAAAAATAAAAACACAGCAATGAACATTGTGTATCAAGATGTTCTGCAATAACTTTGTTTATTTTCTACTGATAAAATTGAGGAATGAAATATTTACTTATTATCTTCAAAACAATTAATTTTGTCACTATGAACAAAACATTTTTTATTATGAATATAACTTCAAACAAGCAGTGAACTCCAACACAATGTGTTTATAAGGCGCGTCCTTAAATCGCACATATCAACCCCTACAAACAATGATGTACATAAAAAAAAATTATGTGATATTCATCATTAATTAACAGAATCCAAGAGGGGGTTGGGCCGCGGAGCGGCCAGGGGGCGTAGCCCTCTAGTCACTGAATGTTTTTGTTTACAAACCAAGAGCTCCTCAACACTGTTGCAACACTGCACTGCACTTTACGCACTCTGCCGGATCGGGAACCAAGTCCCCCGCTATACCCGAAATCGAATTCACGGAGAGGAATCAAGTGGGTTTGGTTCCTTTCTGTGAATTCGGCATCCGGCTTGAAACGATCCTCCGCGAAACCAAGTGGTACTTGGTTCCTTTCTCTGATTCGATTTCGCCCATTTCGAAGTAAGCAACAGGGAACCAGCGACAAAAAATACAGATAATTAAATATAGGTAAAACGTTTTTCACTTTTATTGGTGTTAATAAGTCCCTTGTGAAGATATCAGTTGGTAAAAATTCAAACATCAATCATTCCAATCCGTTTCGAAATGCATGAACAGTAATTCTATCACCTCAATTTTCTCGAGATCAGCTCGATGTGGCTTGGTTCCTTTCTGTTTAACGCGGTCCATTTATGCCCAGCTTGTTGGTTGATTGATCAGTTTCTCCACACCTTCCTCCTTGCAGTCACAAAGACTTCTGATCACTATCTTAAAAGACAACCTTGATTGCCCTCATTGATGTAGATGTCTCAAGGTCTGTAAAACATCATGGAGTAGTAATTTCAAGTTGGTCGTAGTGTGAAGTGCCACAAAGATTTTTCAAACAAAAAGAAAAAATTTGTATTCAGATTTTATTATCACTGGCAGTTGGAATTATTGATGACCATTAGGTGTTGGATTTTTTCAGTTGTCATCAATATTTTGACGTGTGTGTAACAATGCTGATTTCTAGAATAAGCACTGAGCATGAACCAGGGTTGACCTAAATAATTAAGGTTTCTGTTGGTGGTCCATAAGTGGGAAACATCACAATAAATAACCGTAAATCACCTCTAGTTTATTCATTATATTTCTTCACTTTCAGCCCTGGCTCTCATTTGGATGAAATAAGTAGTCAAGAGTTCATTTTAATGGTTTTACTTCTCTTGAAAACTTTCATGAGTTCAAAGGAAGGGACCATTCTCTAGAAATCTAATTCATATCGATTGACTTTACATCTCAGACCATCATGTGGCAACAAAGAAGTCCTTACTTTAGTTTATGATTGAAAGAAAAAGGAGGATATGTGTGAAAAGCATCTAATCGAGAGAATATGATCACCTAATTTATTTCTTTTTCCTTGCAGTTCCTGAGTTACGTTTTTGAAAAGAACCTCGAGTTAGGTTAGGTTAGGTTAGGTTAGGTTAGGTTAGGTTTCTGCGATAACTTTGATAATTTGGATAACTTGGATAACTTTGATAACTTAGAATAACTGTTTTTAGGAAATTCTGAGTTTTATATTATTTTTCTTTTCCCCTTTTTTTTCTCTTCTTCATTTTGTGTTTTTTCGTGGAGGAGAAAAAAAGGTAATTTGCAAATATTCAGAGGAAAAAAAAGAAACGAGAGTGCATGTGCAATAGGAATATTAATTATTTGCATATGTAGTAATTTTGTTATAAGTTTTCTGTCTTTTGGGTTTACTTAGGTTTGATCCTACCAAGCCCGGATGTATCGCGAATACCGCTGCCAGCCAGCAGGGAATAGTTGTCCGTTTTATGGTATATTTGATTGCCTTACCATCCAACGACTTTAAATTCACGTTTCGATTGTTCGGTTGAAATCCTGTATAGTAATTCGTGTTTCCATGCTATTACTTCTATTTAGCCTCGTTTATGTATGTTCCCTCTGTATCTCTCGTTTATGATAGGTAACGTTTACTCTCACACACCGAAGTTTAAGGTTGGTAGGCAACTCCCTTGTTTCTCTTCTTTTTCTTCTTTCGATTTTTCTTCGGCGTATCACATCCCCATGTCTCAAAGTATTTTCTAAATCATGTAATTTCCATCTATTTTTACTAATCACAAGTGCTAATATTGCTTTTGAAACTGTTTCAGATTCCACCTCAAGTCATAGACGGTCACCTACAGAATACCTAACTGTCCAACGCAGCTTTGTGATTCAAGTGTAATATTTACACGTTAGGAGAAAAAAATAAAGTCTTTATTCTCTTTTTTTCTTTTGAATCCGTATCACTTCTTTCCTCTCCACATCAATTCAAAACTACTCTGTAACCAGTACTTTCCCAGTGCTCCTTTTGAGAATCATCTGATCATCTTCATTTTTAGAGGGGGAAAATTATTACTTCCTTCGGCTCCCTCATTCCGAAAGATATGTAAACGGTACACTCTGATCCAAAGAGACAGCCTAGAGCTGAAGTCTCCCTTACGAATAGCACAGTGGAAGCAATACGTTGAAATAAGTTTCCCAAGTAAGTGAAAGAATCGAAATTCTTTCAACTGTGTAATTGCAATATTTTAAACTACATAATTAAACTCATTAATGAAACGGTTTCCATGTCTGCAATTTATTTGAAAGCAACTTGAATTAATCTAAAAAAAATCAGAACCCTAAGGTCTGTCTAGACGTCGCCAACAGTAATTATATCAAAGCT